CTCCAGGGATGCAGGGATGGGAGCTTCAGGGATGGGAGCTCCAGGGGTGGAAACTCCAGGGATGGGAGCTCCGGGGATGCAGGAATGGGAGCTCCGGGGATGGGAATTCCGGGGGTGGGAGCTCCAGGGGTGGGAATCTGGGGATGCAGGGGTGGGAGCTCCAGGGGTGGAAACTCCAGGGATGGGAGCTCCAGGGATGCAGGGATGGGAGCTTCAGGGATGGGAGCTCCAGGGGTGGAAACTCCAGGGATGGGAGCTCCAGGGATGCAGGAATGGGAGCTCCGGGGATGGGAATTCCAGTGATGGGAATCCGGGGATGGGGACTCTGGGGATGGGAGCTCCAGGGAAAGCAGCCCCAGGGAAAGCAGCTCCAGGGATGGGAGCTCCAGGGATGGGAGCTCCAGGGATGGGAGCTCCAGGGATGGGAGCTCCAGGGAAAGCAGCTCCAGGGAAAGCCCTGCAGAGCCTCAGTGTCCCCACATGGAGAGAGCGCCGGCCACGTCCCGCAGGAGCCGTAAGAGAGCAGCTGATGCTCAGGGAAGATGTAATGTTTGTCATGTTTGTCATGTTTGTCATGTTTGTCATGTTTGGAGCAGCCGGGTGCCAAGTTCTGATAACTCCTTCTGGAGCTCTGGGAGTTTCAGGGGCTTTACGCCTCAGCCAGATGTGGGTGGATCCCTCCCCTCCCCACCAGACACCAAATTCCTGCTCCAAAACCAGAGCAGGCTGCTGCTGCTCCAAGAAAAGCCCCCTGAGAGTTTTTCCACCAGGGTAAACCCAAATTTTTCTGCTCTGATTCTTGCAAACTTCCTCCTGCAGAAAGTTTCCAGAAAAATAAAATAAAAATTTTGAGACAGACGATGATTAAAGTTTGGCAAAGTCACCGGAGCAGCACAAAACCCTTCCCACAACCAAAGGCACGAACCAGGATTCAGCCACACACCCAAACACGCCGTGCACCTGCGAGCACAGCAGCTATTGACGCATTCCAAGCACAAAAAATGGGAATATTCCCTGCTGGAGCCTGGGAAGGAGCTCCACATCAGGCCTGGGGAGGCAGAGCAGGGCGAGATGCTTCCCCTGATTGCTCTCCCTGCTTATTTGCAGCTCGTGACCTTTGAGTCAGACATTTCATAGCCCTCCCTGGAATTCTCTCCCCACAAATGCGCACATTTCGTTTATAAACTCGTGGCTCTGGGACCCAAAAACCTTCAGGGCCAGTCCAGAGTCCAGGGACAGGGAGGAAACACCTTTGGGCCTGGATGTGCTGCTGGTTTGAACATTCCCTGTCCCAGAGAGGACGGGGCAGGATTCCATCCCCAGCAGGCACAGGGAACTCCTCAGGGCTAAATCAGACACTCCTGGAGGTGACCCAGGTCTGTGTTTCAAGGCAGCTTTTCCACACGCTCTCAAATCTGTGTTTAAATCGGATTTTTAAATTTTAAATGGAATTTTGCCTCCGGGTGGATCCCAAGGTAACCCCACATCCACTGAGCTGCCCCAAAGCCCCAAACCTTAACAGTGGACACAAACTTCACCTCAGGCACTGCCCAAACCACCAAACAGCTTCCTTCCTGCTCCCAGAGGAGCTCCCTGGATGCTGCTCCTCTCCCAGGGATGAGCTTTGAAATCCTCCAGCCCTGAACGTGCCGAGGCAAAACCCCGCAGCAAAAAACCTTCGGCCCTAAATCTGAGCTCTCAGGGACACCCAGGTACTGAACCCACAGGAAATTCTGGGCACGGGCAGGCCGGAGCTGCCTCCCGGCTCCCACGAGATGCGGTTTGAGCGTGGGCAGCAGCAGCAGGGATGAGGAGAGGACCAGAGGATTCATCTCCTGCAGCCGCAGCCGGGCTTTGGGAGCGCGGGGCTCCATCCCCAGCACAGCCCTGGCACGGCTGGAAGGTTCTGGCAATCATTTCCTGCAGCCTCCCACCCCCGTGGGTCACCCGGGCCGAAGAGCGGCGGGAGAGGAGGAGGAGGGAGAGGTATCCCCAGGAAACCTCGCACCAACCGCGGCTTCCTGAGGAACACCGGGAAAGCCGCGACCACAGGGCTCTGCTGAAGGGCAGCCAAGCCTCGCTCCCCAGAGCGCTGCAGGCAGCCTCAAATCACAGAAACCCGCAAGATTTGGGGAATTTTTTTCCTTTCCCGAAAGAGAAACGTGGCCCGGAGCGCATCCTGAGCCGCAGGATCCCTCTCCTCTGCGGCTCACCCAGCCCGGCCGGGATGCGCCGGCTCCTCCCGGCTCTGGGGAGCCCCGAACATCGCCGTGTCCCGGCGGAGAGGGAAATCCACCCTTCCTCATCCTCCTGCAGCCTTTTCCCTGCAGAAAACACCCCGCGAGGAGCTGCTGCTCCCCGGCACCGCCCGCCTCCTCTCCTTGAGGGGCTGCTGGGTGAAAAACGCCCGGAGCAGGCAGGGATGGATTGGGACACAAGGCAGGGCACCCCTGTGCCCTTCAGCAGCCTCATCTTCCTCTCCGGGCTCCCTGCAAGGGGCAGCAGCCCGGCCCAAAGCTCGGCATCACCCCCGGGCCAGCTCGGACGGCCTCTGGCTCTCCGTTCTCCGGGCAGGCCGGTGCCAGCCGAGCCCCGGCGGCTCCGGGAGGCGCTCCCGGGGAGCCGCGGAAGCTCCGCGGGGCTCCGCTGACATCAGCACGGGAGGATGCGGCCGCCGAGCCAAGGGAAGCAGGAGGAGAGAGATCAAACGATTGCAGAACTTCTCTCCTCGCTTACCCAAGCGCAGGAGAACGCTCCCAACCGGTTTTGGGACGGAGAGCTCGGCGGCTGCTCCCGCCCCGCTGCCCTCAGCCCTCCCCGGGGCATCCCCCGGGAGCTGCTCCGGTACCCGGCTGGAGCCCCGAGCCCGCATTTATTCTTTTAATTGCTGCGTGCAAGAGCCCAGCTTGAGTCACAGCCCCCCGGGGAAGGCTCAGCGCTGCCCGAAGCGGCTTCGTGCTTGATCTGGAAGCGCTGAGACAAAAAGATAAAAAGCTGGAATCACTCAATACCCACTCCCGGCAAGTGGCTGCTCAAGACGATCTGCCCGGTAATTCCAGCCTCCCTGCGAGCCGCGGGGAAGGAAATCCCTTTGGCAAACCCTGCTCGAGGTCCAGGGATGGGTTGGAGAGCAGAAAAGAAAATTTAAGGAAAAAAACCCCCGAGGCCCAGGAGAAGCAGAAGGAGCTGGGAGAAGCACGGGCAGCCCCAGCTCCACGGGCACAGAGGGAAAGAGGCACAAACTCAATTCCCAGTGAAGCTCACCCCAAAGCTGCCCCGTGCTGACCCTCGGGTGCCTGAGGAGCCACCCAGGAGCTCCCCAGGGCAGACCTGGGGCCCAGGGTGAGAGTTATTTCTGTCACAGAGAGGAAGCCGCAACAATTTCAGTTTCCTGCACAAACACATTTCGGGTGTCCTTCCCCACGGGCCCGGCTGCCTCCCCTCCCTGGGTGCTCGGGAAGGAGCCGGGAGAGCTCAGGGTTGGCACCAGCGAAGCTGGGAAAGGTGCAGGTGTCAAAGGCTCGATGCAGAGGAGGATGAAACGCGCCTGGATCCGAGGAGCCGCACCTTGGGGACAGCTGGGACAAACCTGGCTCGGTGGGGAGATGCTGGGGAGATCCCCACGCTGCTGGAGCCAGGGAATCCCATCGGGGATGGAGAAGCTGCAGGAAAGGCAGCAGGGAGGATCTGTGGTGTGAAGAAATGGCAGGAGCACCCCGAGTCCCGAAGAGCTGGGAGAAGCCGAGGGGGAGGCCGAGGCTCCGGCAGGGACGGAGGGTGCAGCTGGGTGTGTGAGCGCTCCACACGCGTGGAACAACGCTGCCCTGCGGGTTTAACCCAGAAACAGGAGCTTCTGCTGCTGCTGCTGAGCCGCTCAGAAATGGGGGAAAAGGAAAAAGAATCAGCAGAGGAACTCCTGGAGAGCTCAGCCCAGCAGGAATAACCTGGACAAAGCAGAATCGGTGCTCACGGTGGGGATTGAGCCCTCAGAACCTCCCAGAATCAGAGCTGGTGTCAGCCCAGCAGAGCCCCTGACACATCCAGGCCCTCAAAGCTCATTTGGCACCCAAAAAACCGGGCACACACCCGGAGCCAGCCCACGGACCCCGCTCTGGATGGGGGAGATGCTCCAGGTGCCCCTCACACAAACCTGTCTGTCCCAGGCCCCTGTGCCTGCAGGGACGCTCCCCCCCCTCCTGGGACACTCACCCACGGATGGCATCGTGTCCCTGAGCCCCTCGGGGTCCCCGTGCCCACCGAGGCCGTGGGAAGAGCAGCCCCGGAGCCCCGGGAGCTCTCAGCTCCCCCATCCCAGGCGTGGCCGCCACCACACCCTTGCAGTTCTCACGGGCAAATCACAGCCTTGGCAAAGCCCTCGCTGGCAGCCAGCCTCATCAGGCTCATTAAGTGCAATTAAAGCAGAGCGGGCATCCCTCCCCCCGGCTCCTCTGGGGGATATTTTGCTTTTAGACAAAATAAACAAGTTGGTTTTGCGTGGGCTCGGGCAGGTGCTGGCAGCGGGCAGCAGCAGGTGGAAACGCCGAGGTCTCTCGGGGGTGAATCAGCATCCAGCCACAATTCCAGCCCTGCTCCTGCTCCCATTCCACCCCCCTCGGCCTGCAGGAGGGCACCAGACCCTCTCCCCTTTGCAAACAGGAACGTGGAATAAACTGGAAGGAAGCTGCCCAACTCTGCCGCTCTCACTGGGATTTGAAAAACGTGGGGAAAAGCTTCCACCCCAAGCTAAAGTGGAATTTTATGGCAGCAGCTCCTCCAGCATCAGCTCAAAGCTGGTTACAGAACCTCTGCTCAAAGCTGGGAGAAGGGAGAGCACGGCAGAACTGCCCAGTCCTCTCCTCCTTCCACACCAAACCTCCTCCCATGGGGACCCCAGGCAGGGCCAAGCCCCCAGAGCAGGACACACCTCGGGGAAGGTTTCAAGCACAGGACATCACCCCAAACCCCGGGAGCTGTCAGCAGGCCACAGAGATCATCCAGGATTTTCCCCGATGGCCACCAAGCCGCTGCTCCATTGCCCTGGCACTGCTGGACACCTCCTGTCAGAAATCCGGGAGATCCCGGCGATCCTGGAAGGTCGAAGGGACCGGCCCTGACCCTGGGATTTGTCAGAAAGCTCTGGAGAGGGGTAGGGAGGGAATCCTGGGGGTGTGATGGGGACCACCCACTGCTGGAGTGGGATAAAACAGCTCCACTCCATCCCCATCCACTCCAGGATGAAGGAAAAAACCCAAAAGGGATCCTTAAAGCTTTTTCTGTTCCCCCATGGGAAAAGCAGCTGGAGCTGCGCCAGGGCAGACTCGGTGCCAGCGCATGCGAGAGCTGGGCTTGCACTGTCACGGCTGTCCCAGGATGATCCCGGCTCAGCGGGGATCCAGGCCACTCAGGGGTGGGCATTTCCCAGTCTGGCTCCCAGCAGGAAGCTGGGAAAAGTGGGAGAAGTCAGATTGGGAAAGCTCTGCCACTCACAGCAACCCCCAGAGATGCGTCACCGACGGGAGAGGTGCGGCCGTGCCCCCACCGAGAGATCTGCTTCAGATATTTGGGGTTTACTGCTGCTAAAGGGATTTAGCCAGAACAAATTAAGATCATTTCCCCGTCTTAATTAATTCTGCTTTCACTTCCTGGCACGTGGGAGCTCGGCCTCCTCCTCCACAGCAGCAGCAGCAGCAGCAGCGAGGAGCCTCAACTCTGCCCAGCCACAGCAGCGGGAGCTGTGCAAAAACACAGGAGGGACCTTGCAGCGTTCTTTTGTCACCATCCCAGCCCTGTCCACACTAAAAACATCCCCAAAAGCCAGAGGCCACTTTGGTGGCCGTATTTCTCCATCACACAGCGAGGGGAGACCTTCCCCTTCCCTCCTCGCGGCGCACACGTCCAGGGGAGCTTCGAGGAGCGGCGATTGCGCCTCTTGCACAACAAATCCCCTCCTCTCGCTGCCCTCCCCGAATCCCTTTGAGGCAAAAAGGAAGAAGGCTGGAGACATCCTTCCTGTGCCTCGGACAATGCGATGGAAATAGCCCGGGAGGAGCAGGAGCCGCACGCGGTCCCGGCTTCCGCCCATTGTCCGGCCATTGTCCGGCCAGGGCTGCTTCATTCCCCCAGGGCAGAGCCAGAACCACCTCTCGGCCCCAGAGGAACAGCCCCAAACCCAAATCCGCTGCCCCATCCTGGGCCCAGGCTCCACCTTCACCCGCAAGCCCACGCCAGGTTCCATCCGAAATCCGCCGGCTGCCGTGGACACGCCGCGGTCACCGCTCGGCCTTGGCAACCAGGGACTTCACAAACACCACAAAATCCACCACGAAATCCAGCACAAAATCCAGCACAAAATCCAGCATGAAAGACTGGCAGGATTTTCCACCTCAGAGAAAAAGCAGACGGCAGAAGACGCTTCCTCAGGACCCAACCCTGAGGGTGAAACGAAGCCCCCAGGGAGAGGGTTCCACCCTAAATCCCGATTTTCTCCTCCAGATGGGAGGTGCACGAGTTCAGCTGCTCCAGCTCACGTCAGCAGCTGGAAAACCCTGCGAGGACCCACGCAAGCCGAGGCCGCTGCTGACGGCAGCCGAGCAGGGCAGGGTGGCAGGAGCTGAACCAAAGTCACGAATCAGCCCCCAAATTTGGGGTTGCCGCTCAAGTCGGTGCTGGTTTCGGTATTCACCTCCCATTTCTCAGGGTTTTGGGAGGGCAAGTTATTGCTTGCAGCCCTTCTGCACCATCTAGGTGGTGACAGAAGCTGTTTTTCTTTAAAAACACCCCAAAACCATACATATTTTAAAGGTCTGAGATGCTTTTAGGGCTGGGATTTCAGGAGTGGCAACACCTGGATGAGCAGCACAGAGCCGGCAGCGCGCCGGAGCCACACTTTGGGAGGGAGGGAAATGGGAGGAAGAGGAGGATGGATGATTTCACTTGTCCCTGCTCCTGCCACCACCCCCAGAGCCCCCCCTGGGGCAAGGGAACCATCCCAGCACAGCCTGACCCCTCTTTACCACCCAAAAAGTGGGGCCAGGCTCTGTCCGAGCTGCTGGCGGCTCCCGGGCCGGGGCTGCTCCGCTCCCAGAACATTCCCAAGCGCATTTCTGCCCTGCCGATGGGTTAAAAATAGAAACCATCAGTATTATTGTCCTGCAAGCAAAAATAGAAAGATCACATCCTCCCTGCTGCAAAGCGACGCAGCAGGGACCTCTCTGCACACGGGCACAGGGGAGAGCTCTATTTCGGGAGTGGGGAACTTGGGGAGTT